TGGGCCATTTTCTACAAACAGCAGAACACCCAGGACCAGAGGGGCCTCTACATCAATCCATGCACCAGATTGCTGCATCACATTGTGATTGATGAGCTCCTGGATTTTTGCACTCTGATATTGAGTACTATAGCTCTTTTTTTGTTATATATATTAAAAATCTAGTTTGCTTTGCTATAAAATCTGACTTTGCTTTTTTTTAGTCTTTAAAGGATTGTTTATTTGCTTATTCACAGAAGGAAAGATCAGTTTAAGATGGATCATGTGGACCAACTGTGCTTACGGGGCAGGGCAACAAGTTTTTGGGTTTCACAGAAATATTTTCAATCCTTCCATGCTTCTAAGGAGGACTTGCTAAATTGTAGCTGTTGTACTAAATGTGAATTTTTAGCATGTTGGGTCATTTAGATTTCCAGGACCCTTAGACATTCACCCCTTCACTTTATTTGGGCTCCAAATAAACCGTTGAATACACAGCCTGGTACATCCCAGACAAGCAAGTGTCAGAGGTCTCCTACTGTAAGCCAATACATGAAATATGAAGTGGCACATGTTAGGAGGGAAAGCTTTGTTATGTTATTACCTTCTGAAGTTGGTTAGGATTCCAGACATGTAGGAATGGGAGTTGTAATGAATCGTTTTGGATTAAAAATCTGAAGGTAGGCTGGTCTTGTTTCTCTAAATGATTTGGCTGGTGGGCCACTCTTCGGGTTGATGACTGCAGCAGCATCTCTCTGCCAATCACAGCAACAAAGACTTTTCCAGTGACTTTTAAATTCAGCTTATTTCATGATGATGAAATCCAACCACAATCCAACCACATGTAAGCCACTCTGAACCTGGTCTTTATATTATAGTGGGACAAGGTTAGATTCTTTGTGCAACTTATGAATGGATAGCCAGACTTTTTGCTGCCGTTACTTTTGTGACCTTTGTATTTTTAAAGCTAATTACCAAATGGAATGGTCATTTCAAGAACTGCTTAATTTTGAGCTGCAAGAAATCCTTCTGACTTCTGTTATCTTTGTTGCTAGTACAGGAAACTCAGAACTAACCTGCACTTTGAGGAAGGAGAAAGCTGTTCACTTTGCCATGCCGTTTCTAAGCATTGGGGTCATGTATTTATTTGGAGTTAAATAGCTCCTGCTGTTGGGATATTAAATGCTGCACTGAAATCTTATATCTCTCCTATAGGGCTGGTGAGAAAGAGAATCAGACAAGACAAAGAGGAATATACTTTAATCCTAGCATAGGCAGGTATTTTAGTTGTAATATTTTGAATAAAGATCTTCATCTCAGGAGCTTAGTTTAAGTAGACATGCCAAGACAACTCAGCAAATATTTTCTTTTTATTGGGGGCCACCTATAGCTTTCATAAGGGTTGTTTCACAAAGGGGCACAGTGCTGGA